TATTGTAGTGGCCTTCGGCCAGTGCCGCCGATCCGGGGCGCTCCGACTGATGTGATCCTTCTTCGCCCTCGTCCCTCCTCTCTTTTTCCCTCCCCTCCTCTCACTCAGCATTTATCCAGTGGCCGTCGGCCTATCCCACCACCGTGCGTGGGTGGTGGGTCAGAGGCCTCATGGATGCTGGTTGGGTTTTCGTGGTTGGCTGGGACTTCTGGGGGCCTCTTGGGCGCCTCTTGGGGCTTCTTGGGGGCCTCTTGGGCCTCTTAAGGCCACTAGAGGGCCTCTTGGGGGTCTCTTGGGAGCCTCTTGGGGCTTCTTGGGGGCCTCTTCTGCGCCCCTTGGGGCCTCTTGGAGACCTCCTCGGAGCCTCTTGGTGCGGGAGGGGTGGTACTCGAGTTCGGAACCCCCTCGGAGGCCACGATCCTTGTGAGTGGTGTCAAAAAACGCATCCGCCGGAAACTCGCACCCCCCCCCCACCCCACCCCCCCTTCCCCGGCAGAGCCACCCCGGCAACCCCCCCAGAGGCTGAGGCTCAGCCTCGAGGCTGTAGCTGAGACTCCTTGAAACTCACACGCCGGATCGGCGGATATGTTTACGATGGGCCCCGAAGCATCACGAAGCATTTCTTATGGGGGGGCGAATGAGATCGGCGTGCCGATTCCTAAGGGCCCCTTGCATCTCCCACGAACTACGAGAACACCTTGAGAACTGCTCATGGTTCCGAGGAGCCCCGAAAGATTCTTGGGGGGCGAACGGGCTTGGCGTGCGCTCGTCGCAATACCTGGCATTCTCTCTGGGAAGTCGTGCGATCACCAGCGATTCAGAAGCATCTCGAAGGATTCCTCGAGTCAGGCGACCGCAAGCATGGATCCGGGGGGCGTGGATTAGCGACGGGCCCCGTTTCCATTGGGGCATCGCGGCTGTCCGCCGCCGAAGGAGGCGGCCCCAGCCGCACTCTGGGGAGGGCGCCTCCCCCGATCCCTGTCTGCGCGCTCCCGATGGAAGGGGGGGCGAGCGGGCTCGGCGTGCGGAATCCGTCCCGGTCTTCGCGAGCGCATGCGCGAATTTCGGCGACGTGCGTGGGATCGGTGCGGAGATGCCGAGGCGCCCCCGCAGGAGTCGCTGGAGCGGGGGCCAGCGGGCTCGGCGTGCGGAGTCCCAAGGGGGCTTTTCTGGCGAGTCGTGAGAAGTACATCTGGGAAGCCCGAAGCAGCCATGTGGCCTCCGTGAGAAGTACATCTGGGAAGCCCGAAGCAGCCATGTGGCCTCCTGAAGTTCAGGAGGGAAAAAACATACACTTGTCTGATCTGCGGGGCGAGAGCGAACCTCTTCCGCTGAAAGCTAGGCGGGCTACGCACAGCTTTAATTAGGGAGACAAGGCACAGGAAGGCGGGGCATCAGGCGGCCGGAGCGGGCGGGGCCCGGGGAACAGGCAGTGCCGAAGTGGATGTGCAGGAAAAGGTACGCCATGGACAGGGACCGAGGGCGAAGACCCGGAAGGCGAGGGAAAAACACACACAGACACAATGAATCGTCGATTCCCCAGAAAATATGAGAAGATATGGGAAGTGGGGGTGGAAGACGAACACCCCGAAGATATAGGAAACTATGGGGAATATGTTTATTTGTGTGTATTTATTTGCGTGTCCCAGGGCCCCTTCAGAAATATGGTTTCCTGAAGGGCGAGGGCTCTCGTCTTGGCCGCATGGCCGTCGCCGCGCGGACAATATCCCTGTGCATTCCAAGACCGCAAAAGGCTGATCAGGGGCGCTGGAGAAGGCACCTGCGCAGTCCAGATGGCGACGCATGGTGGAAAGTTTCACACCAGCTCTCGTCCCATGTGCACAAGCGCACCTCCTCTCCTCTGAAGCGACCTGATGGCACGTGGGCTCTCTCAGCGGGTGCCAAGGCAGATCTTTTCGCAAAAGCGTTCAGTCAAAAGTGGCGATTGCCACCTCCAGTCGAAAATGAGTTTTCGGATTGTTTTTCTGTAGTGATCTCGCCAAGGAGTTACGCTTAAAACGCTTTTGGAGGTCGCTGACGTGAGCGATCGGGCTCGACGCATGGATTCCTTCGGTTCGTTGTTGTTTTTCTTACGATGCACGAGAATCGTGAGGATCGCGATGCATCCCGAAGCATTCCTCAGGGGGAGCCGAACGGGCTCGGCGGGCGGATTCTTTTAGGCTTTGAGAGATTCCTAAGAATTTAAAGGACAAGTGTAGGATTCACTTGATTGTTGCAGCTTTCTGATGGATTAATGCGATTTCATCAGACGAAGGGTTTTTGCGGGGGCCGAACGACCCTGGGGCCCGTTCTCAGCATCAGGGGCCCGTAATCGGGCTCTGGGGCCATCAAAAGCGAATCCGGTGCGCAAAATTACCTTCGGGGAAGGGGTCTGGAGCTATGAGGCCAGAGTTTGAACAACTTAGATCGGAGGATGTCTGGGGAAGAGACGAGGAGGAGGAGGAGGAGGGAGGAGGAGGAGGAGGAGGAGGAGGAGGAGGAGGAGGAGGAGGAGGAGGAGGAGGAGGAGGAGGAGGGGGAGGGGGAGGTGGAGGGGGAGGGGGAGGGGGAGGAGGCAGGAGAGCATCGGTCGATCCAACAAATCGTGCTTGGAGCTTTTCCCTCTAGCTCGTTTCGAGCTCCAGGGCCGTAAGAAGCCGACCTGGGGTGAAGAATTCACCAGGGTGGGCTCCAGGATGGGTCTGGGGACGGATTTGGAGCGGGTGTTGATGCGGTCTTCGAGTTTCGACGATCATGGTTTTGGGAAGTCCTTCAAGGTTGCTTGGCCTCTGGGAGGCTTCTTCTCATCGACGCGGCTGGAGTCCCTTCGGAAGTTTGGCCGAAGCGCACCCCAAGAAAGATCACGGGGGAGGATGGGCCCAGACCCCTTCGCGTCGTGAAACAAGGAAGGCAACTCTGTATGAAAACACCCTGGGGATTCGTAACAATGTTGGTTCCAGGCATTCCAGTTCTACTCTTTGCACAGACTTCTCAGTTCCCGATGGACGCATGCGGTCCTTTGTCATATCGTAGCAGTTGATTGCGGGCATTTGGCCGCAGCACACTCTGCATGAACCTTATCAGTTTGTTATGCGGATGCAAATTGGAGGGATCAGCGGACTAGAACCTGGGAGGAGAACTTCTGATAAGCTGAGAGGATTAGCTGACTACAAATTTGCGCCTGCTCTCTTCGTCGTCGAGTCCGACCCGCATTTCTTGACAGTCTTTCAGTGGACGGCACTTGCTTTCCAGGGCAAGGCCGTGTACCAGTCCACGCGATGCCGTCGCAACTCTGCCCCTCAGTACGTTTTTCGCCCTTGATCCCCTCCGCTTGCCCGCTTCCGCAGCGCCCCACGTCGCCATGATGCCCAACTTGCCCGCCCTCCACGCCCCTTCTCCAAACCCCTCCCCGCCCCCCCTGTCTTCCCCACCTCCCGCATGCACCCTTGGATCCGGCGAGGACCGCGCGTTGTGCTCGTGCAGCGTTGCCGGCTTCGCGGGCTTGCTTGTCAGCGTGATGGCGCCCGCATCCAGACTCCGGCTCCTCCCCCACCCGCACTCGGAATGTATTCTTTCCTCCTACTGCCCCTCTCCCTCCACATGTCCCTTTCCCTCTCCTTCCCACATCCCCTTCCCGCTCGCCTGGGCGATGTGCTCGGCAATGGTGGTCAGGGCGAAGATGAAGATGTCGGTTGATTCGTATTCGTCCTGAGGGAGCTAGGCCAGGCATTTCGGGACGTGCTCCGCTCTTTCCAGGGAAAGCAATTCGCCTGCGGAAGCGACGCAGCGACACGAAAGAAGGAGAGGAGGCGCGCATATGCTTCCAAGTGGGTGGCGAAGGAAAGCATGGGGCGTCGAAAGAAGTTGATTTTGTCATGGTGCCTTGCATGTTGGGCGCATCCAGACGTTGTCAAAATCTCTACCGTCTCGACGAACGGGCGCATATGTATGCGGGCCAGAAGCCTTCCCAGCCCCCATTCTTCAGGTTCCGTGAACCGGGGAGTCCAATTCAAGGCTCAGATCGTGTGGCCTCAGTGCGGGCGGTAGCTAAGTATTTCCTGGAGCAGTGGGAACATTGTTGAGAGAATTTCGGTGTTCTAGGATGTGGACCCCCTTGAGGGCAGCCTCTTGTAAGTCGATTGGGGGCCTTTTTGGGGCATCTTGGAGGCCTCTCGGGGGCATCTTCTGTGGGATCTCTCGGAGGCCTCTGGGGGGGGGGTTGGGGTCCACCTTGGAGGGGTGCTTTCCAGCGGACTGGTCTGGCGGTGGCGCGCTTCGTTGGCCCCTCTTGGGGCCGTATTGAGTCGATCTCCGGAGCCCAATGAACCATACATCGGCGTTCCGGAAGTTCCGTGGTAAGGTGAGATGCGATCATCTTGAATCGGCAGGGGCAAGATCCCGTTCGGTGGGATTTCTGAATCCGTGTGTTTTTACGTTGGGATTTCAAAATGCCCCGTCTAAAGTATGATATTACAACTTAGGATGAAATTCCTGATTCTGACGTCTCAGATCTTGGATATGATTGCTTGTATTTCAGTGCGTTACGACTTTAGGGGGAGGGGGGGGCAGCACGGTCGGATCAGGGTTCAGCCTCGGCCCGCCCGTTCGCGCGGAAGTAACCGATGAAGCCCACACCGTGTTGGCGCTTTCACCAAACACCACGATTTTCTGCAACAGCGCAGTATTGGACGCTCTCAATAATAAAAAGGCGAGAATGCTCACATCATGCCAAACGCATGGTGCTGATGTTTGTGATGGGTTGGTGTGGGTGTCTTGTCCCCACAGACGGTTCCAGGACGACCCCCTGGACCTTCTGGGACTGTTTTAGGGCATGTTGGAAGACAGTATTACCAACAATAATTCCGTAGCCTCGAGAAGGGTCGCATGTAAAGCCCCACAAGAGAAGAAGAGCGGGGGGATTGCCTAGGAATGGGGGGGAGGTACCCTTGATGCATACCTTTCTCGAAGACACCGACGGCGAAGCAGCAGTACATAGAGGT